CATAAACTTTTCTATCTGATGTTTTGAACTTACCTACAGGGCTGTAGAAGTCACAACCAACCAGCACCTGGCATGATCTCAAAGGAACAATCACCTGTTAAATTTTGTAAACTGGACTGAGTAGCATGATGCTCCCAACATGCAAATGATTTCAGATGGAAACAAATTACACATCAGTAAGTAATACATTTCTTTTTGGTTTGTTTTTTGGGGTTTTTTTTTAGTTAATATTGATTTCTGATTTTTGTGGTAGACTGTTCCTCCATCACTCATTTGTTTAAACCTGGGACATGTCCTTGCTGCATCTGCTTTAGACAACTAAGGCACAATCCAAGTGGGATTCAGGGGATCCTGCCTGGACACCCTAGATCTAGTCTAGGTACCTCTCCAAGGATAAGTCAGGGTGGGCCATTCAAGAGAGGGGCTAGGTCTCATCCTCACACTATTTACACCTAAATGGATGAGAGAGGTTGACAGTGAGGATGATGACTGAGCAGCAGGATGGGAGTCAGGACCAATGCCTGGAGCTGCAGTTTTATGTCCCCAGATGGGGTGAGCAAGGCAGGAGACCAGTCATGGTGCTCACAGCTGCTCCACAACCTTGGGGAAGACCCACCTATCCAACCAAGTATCTCATTGGATAATTACACTTGGAATTTGCTGCTTTCATGCCTTAAAGGGCTCACTTGTATAAATCCCAGTGGGATCTCCCCCTTACTTTTACTCAACCTTCCCCCATTCTTCCCATCATCCTCACAAGTCCCAAGTCCATGACACTTTTTTCTATTTATTTAATGCTGGTCTTCAGCATTGCTAAGCCACTATTTCTGAGAGTTATCAGGAAGAGAAGAAGCACTTTTCTGAAAATTTGTGATCTAAATCAAATCACTCCGCTGCAACCAATGCAAAATTCCAGGGGAACAACCTGTCTCAACATCAGGATCCTTGGAATGGTTCCATTTCTAAAGTAAATCCTAGCTCCAACTGCACTTTTGTCAATGTGAAATACATTTTCTCTCTTAACCTGCTTATATACAGATATAATGCAGCATCAGGGAAAATGTCTTGAGCTGGCAAGGAGTTACCAACAGACCAAGCTCAGAGCCTTGTTCAGCAGCATATCAGCTGCCACCTCAGTATTTATAGCCACCCTGCTCTTTGAGCTTGTTTATTTTCCTTCCCAAAGGTGGTGGTGGCAGGAGGCAAAGCTCTGATATTCAGGCTCAGGTGTCCCCAAGGCTGACCTTTCCTTCAAAGAGCAGAAGCTGCAGACACATTTCAAGGAACAAAGTCATTTGGAAACTCTAGACTCTTGTGTCCATTACCACCCAGCGCAGAGCTGCAAACGGGCTGAGCAGAGATCTGATAATTAGCAGGCACACATGTACACTAGGATGGATGTAAAAATGAGCCTGTAATTATCTTATACCTGGAAAGAGAACCAGATGAAGTCCAGCCCCCAGTCTTGAGTCAGAATAAGTTTTACATGAAGACATAACACTCAAAACAGCCTTGCGTTTTCCACTATTTAAGTTTCCCCCAAGCTTAAATAATGCTGTTTTATAGCATTACAGTAGTCATGGACCACATTTGCATACATTCATGTAGAATTCGGCACCCAGTCTTGAGTCAGAATAAGTGCTACATAAAGAATCAAAACAGCCTTGAGTTTTCTACTATTTAAGTTTACCCCAAATTTAAATAATGCTGTTTTATAGCATTACAGTAGTCATGGACCACATTTTTCAATCCCATCTTGCATACATTCATGTAGAATTCATCTGTTAGACCCTGTTGGGGAATAAAGCAGTCCTGAAGCCTGCCACAGAAAAACAAACAGCACATTTCAGTAACACTGGAGTCTCCACAGATTTATTTCCAAGCCGATGCTGCCAAAATGATGTTCCCCTTCTGCATAATCTAGACAAGATGGGTAAAGAAACAACACCTCAAGGTATGCCACCAGCTCAGAGCACTGAGAGCCCACACAGGGGTTCCCAGTCTCTCTTTTTGGGCACTGCCAACCTACCAAGGGGATGGCAATTTGGGGAAGCATGGCAGCACAGGGGATGCAGGCAGCCAGCAGATGCAGGGACCAGGAAAGCATCACTCCTCTCCACCAGGCTTTTGATGGTAAAAACTAATCCTGCAAGACTCACTCAGTGTGACAGTTTGTCCTTGCTAAGCTCAAAATGCAGCAGCCTCAGGAGAAGACAGAGCTAAAGTCTCATAGCAGAAGCCTCTGAGATGCCAGTACTGCAGAAACCACAATGCTGGGTAAAATGAACAGAGGAAAGAGAGGAAGCAGTCAGCAACTGACACCAGAGCAGTAACTGCTGCAGAGTGGCACCAGCCTGCTCTCCTTCACTCACAAAATCAGCCACAGGTCCCTACAGGTTCTTGCTGAGGGAAGAGATGAGCCTCCATGTCCTCATCCCCTCTTAGCATTGCCCAAAATGCACATCCAGCATATCTCAGCCCCAGCATCCCTTTTTTTCATTTTGGGGAGGTAGGGGAAGATTCTGGTAGCCCCACTCATTCCCACCATCCTGTGCACACCATGATCCTTTGGGAGGAGAAACAGCACAGCATCAAGTTAATTTAGCTGTGGAAACATTCCCCTGGCAGATATAAGTACCTCATAAAGAGTTGCACACATTTACTCCGAGCCAGTTCTCTCCCTGGTTCGTGACCACCACTAGAGAGCTCTGGTCTCCCACAACCTGCTCACTTCCCTGCTGTCACCACAACCTGAATTACAGCAGTTGTTTATTGAAACCACAGCTTGGTCCCTTGTGGCCTTTAAGTGGAGAAAATATACTCGGCAAATTAACCCTCCTTAGAGCAGGAATCTCACACAAACAGCCTTTAGGGCCTTCTCTGCCCTCTCCAAACTGGCAGGGCACAGGAATAGTAACTGGAGAAGTTTTCAGCCATCATTTCCACCTGCCAGCTACAGAACTGTATTGAAAAATCAGTGCAACCAGTTTGCACACATGCCAAGTAGTGTTATTTTCACCTCAAGCCAGAGCTCTGCTCCTGCTCCAGCCCCACTTGAAAATCCCAGCACAGCAGAGGAAGGGCTGAAGGGAGGAAAATGGGGCCATGCTGCTCAGTGCTTTGAGGACCCCTTGAATTCCTCCATTCCCAGAACTGAAGCAGAGGATGGAGAGAACAAGGGTACCAATCATCAGAAATGTAAGAGCAAGAAGTTATATTTGGAATTCTCCTTCCTCACCTACCCTTTCCTAAAGCGTTAGGATAGCAGAAGCTCTCCATTGTCTCTACATCATAAAAGTGTTATTACTTGGAAGGTCACCCCCATAAAAAGGTTCTTCCATAAAAAGGTAGATGGTTCCAGATAGAGCCATCAGCTCATTAGTGTGCTGGGCTCCAGTACAGACAGCTATACTGACCTTATCAAAGCTGGATGAGCAGGATTCAGAGGATTTTTATTTTTTAATAGCTGATATCACCAATGATTTCGGTTGAAGCCTGTGATGTTGCTCAGGTCTCTTACCTGGGGAGTTCAGCTCTGTGCTTCTCCTAGCAGATCACACTCCCCAGGAAGTCTCTGCAGGCTGCTCCATTGCTCACCCAAGCATTACTCCTTCCCCTTTTAGAGGGGAATTACAATTACTCCCAATGAAAAGTACAGCAAAAATAGCATGGATGTAGATGGGGCAGGCACACAGAAAGCCCCTTTCCTGAATATGCCAAGCTCCTTTTCTTCTTGTCACTCAGACTGATGCTTCTTCTCCTCCACCTCACATTCAAGCAGAGTTTCAAGGTCTTGGAAAACAGCTTTGCTGCAGATTCCTATATGAACAAAATCCTCAGAGCTGCCATCATTACAACATCTTCAAATTTTATTAAATGCTTACCAAAGAAAAGAAAATCCAGGGGGCAGAAAGTTTTAGGCAGAAATCACACTGATGCAGGAGGAAAAACAAGCTGCCCTCCCTCCTCCAGGAGGGTAGAAATAAGTTGCAAAATTATGTTGATGTAGGAAGAAGGTAGGAACAAGACTAAAGAGGGGATGGGGGACATGTTAACACCATGAAGTATGAAGACATAGGAGAGTTCAGGAACGACCCTAGAAGCTGATTTGCAGACCTCAGGCCCAAGGCCAGACATGCCACTCTTGAGGGACTCAGTTTCCTCACATTCACAGCAAGCCTCGGTCTCCCCAAACAATTCACCAGGATGCCATTTCACCAAGATAGCTTCCAGCAGCAGCCATTTCCCAGATATCCTGCTCAGCCTCAGGAACACAGCTCACAAGTTACCAAGGTGCCACCACATCTAACTTTTAGAAGTGCTTCACTCACTGGCACTGCAGCCCACGGGTTAGAGAATGAGGAAATCACCTTCCCAGAGAAGGGAGATAACACCAGTGGTCAGCACTCCTCACCTGGGAAAGGAGATCTCCAATCCATCTTAGGCAGAGGAAGGCAGCAGCTATTTGAAACAAAGCTGCTATGGCCCAACTGAGACAGAAAAGTGGCAGGAACATTTTGGCATGGGTACATAACTGATTAAAGAATGATCTGGGAAAAAAAGAAAAGACTAAATTGAATGCAGTTTGATGTACACAGCAGTGATGGAAGTCCCTCAAAGCAGATGACAGAGGGACAGAGGCTGCATCATAAACAGGGCAAGACTTGACCTACAGCTGGCACCAACCAAGTGACAAGTGGTCCTTGCACTCTCATCACACTCCCCTTACAGTCTTTTTACACTCAGGACCTGCCCACTGCCCTCATTTCAAACATCAATTCTTCAGTAGATTTCTGCTGAGTTCCCTTCTCTGCCGCCACCCACCCACCAAGGGCCACAAAACCAGAAATTCTTAATCACATAACAAAAGCCTTGCCTGCTCAGCAGAGCAACAGATCCCTCTCTTCCAACACTTCAGGTGAGGGAACAGAACCACTCATCTCCATAGCAGAGACAGATTTAAAAAAAAAATATAGAAAAAAAAGCCAAGGAGTCACATAGAAAGTTAAAACAGGAATGAGTTTTCTCAGCTGATCTAGTTCCTTTCATCCATCTGGAGGCAGTGTGGGGTATTGCTCAAACCCCAAGAGGAGCCAGGCTGTATCCAAAGCAGACTGACAGCAGTCAGGAGAAGAGAAACATCCTTCAATTATCTTCTGTGGAGCAGAGGAAATAGTGGCATGGAGGGTCGCAGTGAGTCAGGACCAAGCTCAGCTGCAAGACAAGAAAACACAATGTTATGGATGTCATTTGGCCACTCATGAGCAATACCCTGGGCTGCACAAAAACTGTATCTCCTCCAGCAATTACAGGTGGGTTTCTCCCACCCATTTTCACAAAGCCCTGTGAATCATAAAGCTTTGGCATAAGTGACACAAAAACTGTATCTCCTCCAGCAAGGTGGGTTTCTCCCACCCATTTTCACAAAGCCCTGTGAATCATAAAGCTTTGGCATAAGTGAACCATCCTGGGAATGTCCATGCCCATGGCAGAGGAGATGCTGAGGGCTGCACGCCCCGCAGAGGTCATGGCTGCACTCCTGCCACACTGTCCCCCACCCCAATAAAAGAGTTTCACAGGCTTCCTCCCAAGCCCAAGAAAGCCACTAAAGCAGAGTGTCCCCACAGCCCCTGACAGCCGCAGCTCTGCTTGGGACCATCTGCAGCAGTGTTGGGTTCCTGCAGCTCTCCATCTGCTCCACGCACGACAGCTGGTGCAGCCAAGGGGCTCCAGCACACAAATGACTTTTCCATCACTTGATAAACGACTCCTGCATGCTGACACTCTCCCCACTATTCCCGATTTGGGGCTGACTGCAAATGGAGCCAAGTCAGGAGAACAGTTGGGGTCCAAGAGTGGATGAGCATCCATCCACCCATGGGAGCTCAACCAGCAGCAGAGAAACTTAACCCTTTGAAAGCCTCTTGACTTCAAGGTTCACCTCCTCCTAGCTTATCACAAACCCACACAAGTTTCTCAGGCAGTGCTTCCCCTATTATCCCCAGGCTTTCAGCTCCAGCCTTTCCACTGGCAATAAAGCAAATTTGTCTGCCCCTTTATTTTTGCTTCATTAGGTGGCAAGGGAGAAGACAAATCTTCCTTGATGAGAATTTCTCCTGAGCACACAAAGCTCTGAAGGAGATTCAAAACAAAGCCAGGCATGACAGGGAAGACAAATAAATTAACAGCTGATTTCCTTTTGCTGTCTCTCAGCATCTCACTGCTCCATTAGTCAAGCACACAGATTCCAGTACAGTCACATGCCATGGAAGTCACCACCCATAAGGACCCCAAGACCCACAGCACAGCAGGTTTCAAGTCAGATGGGATGCTGAGATAGCAGCAAGAGTGATTTTTAAAGCACAGACTATTTGTAAGAGACAACAAACCTTGAGGTTATACAGCATGAAGCAGCCTCTGACTTTGGGAGCAGAGGGATTTTCCTGGTGTGTGCATACTAAACTCTGAGAGCCCCCATGCCCCCCTCAGCAGCATCTGGCAGCTTGCAGCAAATCCCAGGCAAGCTCCTTCTCTGACTCAAGTGGGGAGCTGCATTTTTCTGGAGTGCAGCAGTCCATAGGACAAGGAAAACACTCCAAGAACTGATCAGTAGCTGGGAAGTTCACTGCCCTGCCTCTTTAGTATTCCCTACACAAGCCTGAAGCAGGTCAACCTTATAAATCTGGTTTACCAGTGCTGCTGGACCATAGCTCATCTTGTAGTACAGGCTGTCCATGGGACCACATTAAACAGAAGCAGATTAAGTCATTCCACAATAAATCCTACCATGAAGTGCAGATATTTGCTCACCCTTCAGCAGATTTTTAAAAAGGCACAAAAAACCTCCATAAGCAAATACCAATTCCTACACAAAAAGAGCCAGAGCAGTGTCACACAGAAGTACCTACATGTCCCTCCAACTGAGACATTTTGGCTTTCTGACCCAGAAGGACCTAAAATACCCATGAGGCTGGGGAGGAAAGCAGGTATATGACAAAGGAATGGGCTCTCAGCCTTTTTTTGGAACAGTGCAGACTTGCCTCTAAGAGTAGCTCCTGGAACAAAGCAAATCCTAATGACAGCCTTGTGCCTAAGGAATGAAGCTGATAAGACACTGGGAATGTCCAACAGTTGTCACCCCCAGCTGACACAAATCCCCTCCAAGCCCCCTCACAGAAAACAGCAGGTCTCTCATGCCTACAGCTAAAGCAAATCATAGAATGATAGAATAGCTTGAATGGGACCTTTAGTTGAAAGGGACCTTTAAAGGTCATCTAATCCAACACCCATGCAATGAACAGGGACATCTGCAACTAAATCAGGCTGCCCAGACCCCCATCCAGCCTAACCTGGAATGTTTCCAGGGATAGGGCATGCACCACCTCTCTGAGAAACCCGTTCCAGTGTTTCAACCCCCTCATCATAAAAAAAAAAACCAAACATCTTCCTTATATCTAGTGTGAATCTACCCTCTTAGTTTAAAAGCTTTACCTTTATTCTATTGCAACATGCCCTACTAAAACTCCTGTCCCCATCTCTCTTATGAGCCACCTGTACATATTTAAAGGCCATAATAAAGTCTCCCCAGAGCCTTCACTTCTCCAGGATGAAGAGCCCTAACTCTCTCAAGCCTGTCCTCATAGAAGTGTTCCATCCCTCTGATCATTTTCATGGTCCTCCTCAGGACTTGCTCCAGCAGATCCATGTCTCTGGTACTGAATGCACCATTTGCTGGACACTGCCTGTACCCTGCCCACCACAGCCTCTGGAGGGCAGCTCATCCACCACACCGAGGGCTTGACCTTGAAGCTTTTGAGCTCAACATGCCACCTCTCCAGTGCTTTTATTTGCTGCTGCCTTAAAAAAAAAGAAAAGTCATCCTTCTCCCCCCATGGCCAACCAGTTTTGGCAGACACACCACCTGCTTGCTGGGTATGGATCACCTTCCCAGCCCAGTGCTGACAGCAGCACTGCAAGCCCAAAGCCAGCACTGGGCACTCAAGCACAAATAGCTGTTCTGCACTTTCCAGAGCTCTAATCAGGATAGTTTTCCCCACACAGCAGGTATATCACATTACACACCCACACTAACCAGAGCAGGCTGGGAGCCACCAGGAGCAGGACACAGCACACGAAATAAATGGGCCCCCAGGCAAGCCTGACATCACCCTGCCTTCCCCTTCCTTGTTTCAGGATGCTCAGTTGCATCCAGCACCAGGGATTAAGGGGCTCAGTGATTTATGCCTCATTTCATGGCAAAACTCAGCAACTCTGAGCAAGAGCCAGGATAGAGTCAGATTTCCTTCCTGGGGCTGCCAAAGAGTCATTGCAGGTCAGAGGCTGTTTGGTGCTCCCCAGCTTGCTCAGGAAGAGAAAGGAGAGAACAGAGACAAGTTTTATCTTTGCATCCCCAACACAAACCCTTAGCTCCACTGTGCTCCCCGATCACTCACTGAGCTTCACTGACCAGCACGCACCAAAAAGGAGGCACTGATGAGTTACAATAAAGAGCAGGAAAAGCAGCCATGCATCCCTGCAGGAGCAGCCCAGTATTGGCCAAAGGGCTGCAATTACCACTGCAGATTAAACCTGACACAGAGCACAAGCCATTGCTGCTTCATTCAAGAATGAGTGAAAAAGGCAAGATGGGGAAAGCCTTCCTGCTGAGCAAGAGCCAGGATAGAATCAGATTTCCTTCCTGGGGCTGTCAGAGTCATTGCAGGTCAGAGGCTGTTTGGTGCTCCCCAGCTTGCTCAGGAAGAGAAAGGAGAGAACAGAGACAAGTTTTATCTTTGCATCCCCAACACAAACCCTTAGCTCCACTGTGCTCCCCGATCACTCACTGAGCTTCACTGACCAGCACGCACCAAAAAGGAGGCACTGATGAGTTACAATAAAGAGCAGGAAAAGCAGCCATGCATCCCTGCAGGAGCAGCCCAGCATTGGCCAAAGGGCTGCAATTACCACTGCAGATTAAACCTGACACAGAGCACAAGCCATTGCTGCTTCATTCAAGAATGAGTGAAAAAGGCAAGATGGAAAAAGCCTTCCAATGGAAAGAGAAAACTTGGTTTTATCTCTGAGGAAAATGTTGTCCCTGTGCTTCATGCAGCAAGAGAAGACCAGCCAGAGTCAGTGCTGTGACAAAGCAGTTCCCCACTGATAAACAGAGCTTCTGAGAAGCCTGTATTTCACAGGGGTGTCTTCATGCCAGCTGAAATGAATCAAGGCCAGCATTGACTTTGATTCAAATGACACATGTAGTTTATGGCTGTTCTGTTGTATGTAACATTGTATCAGAGTATTAATAACTGAAATTTGGAAAGCCATGAAACATTCCTGCTTTTTGCCTCTGGAGTTGTTTCAAAGCTTCAAAATTTCAAACCCACTTTGTTTCCCTTGACATTTCCTTCCAAATCCCATTAGGACTTGCCAAGACACGAACATCTGGGGTCCCCAGGAGCTCTCACTGTGCTCATGCCAGGAGCAGAAGGGCTCCAGGTTTGGCAATACAGCTTCCCCCCAGGACATCTCTTGCCCTGCCACACCCACCCTCAAGACTGGCTGAGGTTACCTCAGGAGAGTAACAAAACAAAGACTGATGCTCTTCTCTCGCAATACTGACTCCATATTCATAGCTTTTAGACAGAGGAAGAGGAGGACTTGTATATAAATATTTCAGAATGCAGCCCAGTGCTAAGCCCACACCAACTCTAAACTTGGTCTTTTCTTGCAGGAAATGACAATGCTGATAACAGTATCATCCTCCACCCAGCCTATTCCCAACCACCACCCCCTTTCTCCCCCTCCCACCCTACCAAAGCCTGGGAAGGACAACCTGCGGCTGCAGCGGCTGCTGAAGAAGGCAGCCAGGAAGAATGCCATCCTCACCTCGGAGCAGGGCAAGGCCTTCCGCTCCAGCCTTTCGCCTGTCAACGAGGCCAGCCCCGACCAAGAGCGTGCAGAGAGCGCTGCCCCAGCTGCAGAGAGCCCTGAGGCCACAGCAGCCCCCTGTGCCCCGCTGCCCACCCAGCTCTCCGTCAGGCCCGTCGGCCACCGCGCGCTCTCCCCGTTCCGCAAGGGGAAGCCTTTCGCGCTGAAGGTCACCGAGCAGCGGCGCATCGCTGAACACGTCAAGCTCACAGCCTCCTCGGCCATGCCCCTGCTGCAGAAGCCAGAAGCTCCTGAGACTCCACAGCAGCCTGAAGGCATGG